TCAGTGGTTTGGGGCCGGGTAGTGCTTAGTGACTTCACCGAGCCATGTTACAAAATACCCAGCACATTTGGAGAGGCCAAGGCGGGCTTAGATACTAGTTTTGTTTGAGTGACAGCTGAGTGGTTGAGACCAGTCCCTTATACCAACGTGATGAAGATCGGCCTCTTCTACTAAAAGATACAAAAAATTAGCCGGGCGTGGTGGTGCATGCCTGTAATCCATTCCCGCTACAGGCAATCAGAATTTATGGCGGAAATATATACATGTATGCACGAGACTGCTTCGAACTCAAAGTGAGAGGCCAAGGTTACCACATTAGGTGAGGAGGGCGTCGAGGCGAGACCGCGAGTTGTGCCAATTCTATCGAGTCTCTTGGATATTACCTAGGTCGAGGATTCCATTCAACATTAAAAAATATAGATAACAGAAGAAAAGAAAAGAAAAGTATAAACTAGCAGTTATTGGTTATTTTTGTCAGCAGATAAGCGACGATCAGTGAGAACATGAAATCCATACCACACATAACTATCTTCATCCAAGAAATACTTTTCCATCCCAATATTTGGTTCTCCCGCATCCTGATTAGCCTGTATGCCGAACCACGATCACATACAATTGGTTCTTAGTGACACAAAAGAAACTCAAAAAATGCTATCTCAATTCAATATCAGATTAGTATATGTCGTTCTAGCATCTATCCCTCTCTTCTTTCCCACCTTCTCTACGTTATACACACTAATAGTTAACTTTTTGAGTAATCTGTGGAATTTGCACATATTCATGAGAGACTAAATTACAAAAAGTAAGTTGGAATAATATGAAAAAAATGTTTTATTCAGTTAAATCAATATTTAACGGAATGTGTTCCATCTCAAGACTACTGGCTCTATGAACTTGGGATAAATACATCAAACAAAGATGCTAGACTTTGTTACACTCTCTGGCACTTTGCGAACGTCCTACGCATCATGTGTATATGGTTGGTGTAAGTTTCATTACCAATCATGTTTTTTACTGCTGTTATTTGTACATATGTCTTAGAATGTCAGAAAGTGTACACAAATAAACAGTAATAGTGATTTATAGCATTTTCAGATCAGGTCATATATATTATGGGGATTATGAATGCTAGCTGAGGATAGTTTTGTTTTCTAAGTCTGTATATGGATATGTATTTATCATCTGTTTGTTTGTTTTAATATGACCATGCGCATCATATGATGAGGGACACTATATATAGTGTGGTTTGTATATCTACTTGTACTTTGTAGGACATGTAGGAGAGTAAATTCAGTGACATAAACATGAATATATTCTTTGTGCATGTTTCCTGTGTATGTAAGAATCTATTTTATCTTAGGTAAATTGCGGGTATCACTATTTCTAGGAGGGTGAATATGGGTTGTGTGATTCACAATAGTACAATATAAGTACTCTATGTTGAAGTAGCGCAATTGTTAATTAAAGATTTGCGCCCAAATAAGAAACTAGTTTTAGTGCCAAATAAAATGCGCCACCATTTACACATCTGTTTAAACGAACCCCCAGCCGGTGCCACCAGGAGTTTACATAAGCAGCTCTGACACAGTCCTCAGACTCTCTATGTGCAATTTATTGAATCTTATTTTCGACAAACTTATTACCGCGCTCTTCCTAGGCTGTGGAAGCTATGGATAGAAGGTGAGTTATCACTCAACTTGAGTAAGGTGTGATGTTAACAAGAATACTGTCAATATGTCCTATGGGACAATTTAACAGAAGATACATCTTTTGTATCCATGGTGATTAATGTGATATGTAGTATCTTTGTTTGAGATGTACACTCCTTTAGAAGAACAAAAGTAGTACAGTCAATACTCTTTGTTGCCCATGTTTTATGATGTATGAGGGATATATGATCGTTTTATTACAAATTGTCCAAGAAATGTTTATGGATTGCTTTCTGTAATGTATTGCTATTTATATTGTCTTTTTTTCATATATGTTATATTTGAGATTGGAGTCTCGCTCTGCGCGATCGGCACCAGACGCTGAGCGGAGGGGTCGCACAAGTGGCGGAAATCTCAGCTCCACTGTCAAGGGCTACCAGACATGCCCAGGTTCCACAACCACAGCTCCCTGGCTCAGCCAATTCTACACGAGTAGAAAAAACAAAAAAGCTGGGGACTGAACGAGGCCGCACCGCATGCCCCCACACAACTTCAGCGAATAACTTGGTAACTAGTCTTATTATTGTTTTTATTGGTAAAGTCAGATTTTTTCCTTAGTAGAGACGGGCTTACACATCAAGCAGAGGATCCGGTCCTTCGATCGTGTGCCAGACTCAGTGATCCGTCCGGTTGTCTACGGACTCAGCCAAAACTAGCAGAGAGCGTGCATATGACTAGGTCGTTGAACACACACGACGCCCGGCATTTGATTGTATTTATGTTATGTTTGCTATAGAGCTCGAGAGGTAACATCACAACGAAATCGCCCCAGCTGGGTCGTCGCTAGCCACTACATCGTACGAGGACACCAATCTTGGCTACACCTGCAACCTCCGTATGCCAGGTTCAAACAATTCCTGCCTCAGCCCTCCCGAGTAGCTGGGACTAAAGGCATGTGCCACCATGCCCAGCTATTTTTTTTTTTTTTAATTTTTTTTATTTTTAGTAGAGCGACGCAGGTTTTTTTTATTTTTAGTAGAGACGGGGTTTCACCATACTGGCCAAGCTGGTCTCTAACTCCTGACCTCGTGATCTGCCCACCTCAGCCTCCCAAAGTGCTGGGATTACAGGCGCGAGCCACCGCGCCTGGCCCTTCTTATATATTCTTATCAGATACATGATTTGCAAATATTTCCTACCATTCCGGGTTGTCTCTTAATTTCCTTGACAGTACTTATTGATGGCCAAAAGTTTTTAATTTTGATGAAGCCTTATTTATCTATTTTTTGTTGTTACTTACGCTTTTGATGTTACATCCACATTTTCTTTTCTTCCTTGTACAATAAAACAAACACTAAACCAGTGTTCCTTTCCAGCCTTGTAATTACATAAATGTGTGACCTTAGCCAAGTACTTAAACTCATTCAGAATTCAGTTTCCACATCTGTAAAAGGAAGCTTGGTTTAACAGAGTGGATGCTAATTTTTTGTGAATAAATTATCTTTATAAAATCCCTTACATGAGTAGTTCTCAGCCTGGGGCAAGTTTTTCCTCCATGTAACATTTGGCAATTTCTGGAAACATTTCTGGTTATCACAACTGGAGTGGGATCATACTGGCATCTGGCAGGTAGAGGCCAGGGATGCTGCGAAACATCCCACAATGCACAGGACAGCTCCTACCAAAGAATTATCTAGCCTGAAGTGACAGTAGTGCTGAGGTTGAGAAACCCTGCTTTAAAATTATGATTCTAGTATGCCAGTTTATTTTTAAGTGGTAGTCTTTGAGTTCGTCTGCAATAGCCAGGTGCCTTTGTGCTCCTAGCCTATTGCTATGGAGTCTAAGAGCACAAAAACAATGACGGGAGAAAGGGGAGGTACCAGTGAAGGTAAAATAATTTAGATTTTTTAGGAAGAAATCAATTCTTGCACGTCAGGAGAATTTTGAAAGTGTTTTTAAGGCTATTTTAAACTACCGTGTCTTTTAACATAAAGAAAAAAATTATTTCCATGTAAACCCCTCCAGGCAAAGCCTTGTAGATGTATTCTTGTTATTGAGTCTTTTTCTTTAGGGTTTCTGGAACAAAATAGTTTTTGTGAAATAGTTTGTACATGCTATGAAGTATTTTTAATCAATCATAAAAGAAACAGAGCAACTTGATGGAAGGAACTTGTAGTTGATATGTCTCTGCATTCGTGATTTATCTGAACTCAAAGGAAGTTGATATTCCAGCTGATCACATTAATTCAGCTTTCTCTAATACCATCTGCTGGAATGTACTCATTCGCCTATGTTCCACAAATAATCTATCCAAAATCAAACAGATGATAGCTTGAAATATGTTTCAGCATTTCTAAATATTTTGGCATGTAAAAAGCTGTCATATTTGAAGGTATTTCTTTTCTGTGATAATACTGCTGTTTCATGCCCTGCATGATTAGATGTAATCATTATCACCAGCACCAGGACCACCACCATCATCATCATAGACTAAAATTCCTTGATTATAATATATCAGGATCTATTCTAAGCACTTTATGTTCGTATCATTTTTCCTCACAAAAATCCTAGAAGGTAGTTTTTTTATTAATCTCAATTTTGCAGATAACAGCGAAGTATCCAATAAAGGGGATAAAATACTTGCTGAGTCCTATTTCCTTACTATGTCTTCTCAGGTGTCAAACTAGTTCATATTTTAACAATAGATAAAGCGTATTTATTGTTAAATCTGTAACATTGATGTCCTTAATTTTCTGGCACCCTAGATAATGGCAATTGAAGACTGAGTTATTTCTGAATCTTTTTTCAAGAACAGACATTTTACAATTAATTGTCTCTCTCAAAAGTATATGTATGCACCTTCCGGCTGCTGTAGTACCTTCCCATCTCTGCATATTGATACAAATTTAAAACTGTAAAACTTCTCCATTATGTAAGTAATGGAAAGGTTTTTGTTTAACTTTGTTTATATGTATAGGAAGCAGTGAGAGAAAACAATAAGAGAAGAGAAATGGAAGAGAAGACCAGGAGGGCAAAACTTGCGAAAGAGAAAGCTGAACAAGAAAAGTTAGAACGCCAGAAGAAAAAGAAACAACTCATTGACATAAACAAAGGTATGAAAATATTTCCAATTTTTATAAAAATGCAAAAAGTACAAAATAATTGCAGTTATTTATTTTTGGATTATAACGTACATTTTCATAGAAAATTCACAATAGTATTAGTTACTTGTGCCAAATTTCTCTCATGATGCTGTCTGTATTTCATATATCCCTACATTGAGCATTCAGGATTTTTAATAACCAACGCAAGATGTTATTTTGTTGAGACAGTGTTTTTCTCCCTACTTTTCTTACCATAGTATATTATATTCTGGATGAGGCAGTGGGGAGGGAAGAAGAGGGTGAGATGAAATGTGAAAAACTGGTATGGGGAGATAAGCCTTAGCTTTTAACTTCATTTTGTTGGCACATGTCTGTTGACAGTGCAGTAACAGTTAACAGTCTTTCTTGGAGGCTTGAACATTTTAAGTCCTAAGAGATATTGACAGCACTATTACAAGTTGAATAAAATAGGGAAAGGCATCTTGCACAGCTATGAACCTAAGCACAAGATGCTGGTATGTCTATAGAGTTTAAAGTAAGTTGTTTGAGGCCAGGCACAGTGGCTCATGCATGTAATCCCAGCACTTTGGGAGGCCGAGGCGGGAGGTTCACTTGAGGTCATGAGTTCAAGACCAGTCTGGCCAACAGGGTGAAACCCCATCTCTACAAAAAATACAAAAATTAGTCAGGCATGGTGGCAGGCACCTGTAATCCCAACTGCCCAGGAGGCTGAGGTGAGAGGATTGTTTGAAACTGGGGGGGGCGGAGGCTACAGTGAGCCAAGATCGTGCCATTGTACTCCAGCCTGGGCGACAGAGCAAGACTCTATCTCAAATAAATAAATAAATAAATAAATAAAGTTAGTTGTTTTATTGGTTAGCAAGAGTGACTGTATATTGTTGGTGAGTTGTTTGGTTTGGTTGGTTTACTTTCTAAAGAAGAGAGGGCAAAAAAAGAAAGTGATTGGTATCAGGTATCTGCACACTGAAAATTTAAGAATAAAAAAGCATGCATAGATAGCCTTTGTCACCTGAGGTTTAGAGAATTTACAAACAAAACAAAACAAAACAAAATCTGAACAAGATACAAGGTAATATGATTAATATGGACCATGTATTACTGAAGATAACAATAGTAAAAATTGCAAGCACTCTATAATATTGACCATATGCCAAGCATGGTCGTAAGACTTTTACGTATTTATTTTATTTTATTTTTTGAGTCGGAGTCTAGCTCTGTCGCCCAGGCAGGAGTGCAGTGGCACGATCTCGGCTCACTGCAACCTCTGCCTCCTGGGTTCAAGTGATTCTCCTGCCTCAACCTCCCAAGTAGCTGGGATTACAGGCGCCTGCCACTACACCCAGCTAATTTTTGTATTTTTGGTAGAGACGGGGTTTCACTGTGTTGGCCAGGCTGGTCTTGAACTCCTGACCTCGTGATCCACCTGCCTCGGCCTCCCAAAGTGCCGGGATTACAAGCATGAGCCACTGCGCCCAGCACTTTTACATATTTTAAGTCAATCCTCACAACATCTCTATGAGGTAGGTATTATTATCATCTCATTTTACAGATAGAAAACTGAGGCTAATAGAAATTAAGGAACTTGGCCAAGGTCACACAAATAGGAAGTACTAGCACCAAGATTAGAATCCAAGTTGTCTCACTATGGAATCTTTCCATTTACCTATGCCACTGTCAGGAGAAAATGATAACAACAACAACTAACATATAGCACTTGCTACTCACCAAGAACTATTCTAGGAATTTTGCATTTAGGAGCCAATTTAATCCTCACAGAACCCTATTAGGAAAGTACTACTATCTCATTTTAAAATGACAAAACTGGGGCACGGAGAAGTTAAGTAACTTGCCCAAGGTCACACAGATAGTGAGAGGTAGAATTAAGATTTGAACCCAGGCAGTGTGTAACCAGAGTTAATTATGTGTTTTTAAGTATAATTATTAATTATCACAATCATTATCAAGTATTTTGCAGTAATGTCTCTTAATGTCTAATCTTCTAAGGTAATGTCCATACCGTTAAGTTTAGTCTTCGTACTTTTAAAATATATAAACATTTTCAGGAATTGACTATAGTTTGTATCTTCCACCCAGGAAACAAATATAACATTTTAACAGAAGAAAAACAGTAATATTATGTAAAAAGCTGTGTTAAAATAGAATAGTATCAACATAATTTAGCAAACAAACTTCGTAATTAGAATCAGGAAAACTGGTCATGACTGCAGTCACTCTATTAGGAGGTAAGCACTAGAGTACAGCATGGCAATATGTATTTACAGGAAGTTATCATTGAGAAAGTGAAGAAGTCAGTAGAAAAGTTCTGAAGGTGGCTGGGCACAGTGGCTCACACCTGTAGTCCCAGCACTTTGGGAGGCTGAGGTGGGCGGATCACGAGGTCAGGAGTTCGAGACCAGCCTGGCTAATATGGTGAAACCCCGTCTCTACTAAAAATACAAAAATTAGCCAGGCATGGTGGTACGCACCTGTAGTCCCAGCTACTCGGGAGGCTGAGGCAGAAGAATCGCTTGAACCTGGGAGGCAGAGGTTGCAGTATCATAGTGCTGCACTCCAGTCTGGGTGACAGAGCAAGACTCTGTCTCAAAAAAAAAAAGTTCTGAAAGTTAGCTCCTTTATGTGCAGGGAGGAGTAGCTGGGGAAGAAACTGGAAGAGATAGTAGGGGACAGGGGACAGATTGTGAGCTCTCTTTCTTTTTTTTTTTTTTTTAAAATTATACTTCAAGTTCTACAGTACCCTTATAGAACGTGCAGTTTTGTTACATAGGTATACACATGCCATGGTAGTTTGCTGCACCCATCAACCCATCATCTATTTCTCCTAATGGTATCTTTCTTTCTTTTCTGCTATGCCAAGGGTCTTACCCTGAAAGCAATGGGAAGCCTGTGAATGTTTATAAACTGGAAAGTGATGTACATAGTCAGGTTTCTTAGATCATTTTGTTTTTGTTTTGTTTTGTTTTTTGGGTTTTTTTTTTTTTTTTAAAGACAGGATCTCACTGTCTCCCAGGCTGAAGTGCAGTGCCATGATCTTAGCTCACTGCAACCTCCCAGCCAGAAAGGTCATTTTGACAGAAGCAGAAAGAATGTATTGGAAGGGGAAAGCACTAAGGAAATAAAGGTTATGAGGATATTGTCATAGTCCTGACAAGAGATGATGGTGGCCTGAACTAATACAGTGACAGTGAGATTTAAAAAGCAGCAAGGGGTATATTAGTCAGAGTTATTTTGAGAAACAGAACTAGTAAGATGTGTATGTTTACAGACGCATGCACACACACACAGATTTATGGAATTGTTTCGAGTGATTATAGAAGCTGGCAGGTTTAAATTCTGCAAGGCAGGAGGACAGGCTAGAGTCCCAGAGGAAAGCCAGTGCTACAGTTCAAGTCTGAAAACCATCTGCTGCAGAATTCTCTCTTGCTTGGGGGATGTCAGTCTTTTTGTTCTAGTCAGATCCTCAACTGATTGGACGAGGCCCACCCACAGCATGGAGTACAAACCGCTTTACCCAAAGTTCACTGATTTAAATGTTGATCTCATCCAAAAACACCCTCACAGAAACATCCAGAATAATGTTTGACCAAATATCTGGACATTGTGGCCCAGCCAAGTTGACATATAAAATTAACCATCATGAGAGGGTGTTAAAGGATAGAATTGACGGGTGCTGATGATTGATTGGATGTGTAAATCAAAGGAGGCAAGTGTTAAAGAAGATGGTACACTTCACAGAGAAAGCAAATTCAGGAATAGAACAGATTTTATCAGGAGACTTACAATGACTGGTATCATTTTAAACACGTTTAGTTTTCAGATACCTTGTAAAGATGGAAAATGCCTAAGAAGCCATATGGTGTATGTGATTGTGAAACTCAGCAAAGAAGTCTAAACTAACCATATCGGCTTGGGGATCATTGGTTTTTATTCGAAGATTAAAGTTACAGTGTACTAGTTTGCCAGGGCTTCCATAAGAATATGCCACAAGCTAGGTGCTTCAAACAACAGATATACGTTGTCTGACAGTTCTGGAGGCTAGAAGTCCAAGATCAAGGTGTCAGCAGGGTCATGCTCCTTTTGAAGAGTCTACGGTAGGATCTGTGCCAGGCCTCTCTCCTAGATTCTTGTAGTGTCTTGCTTTGTCGCAGCGTAACTTCAACCTTCACATGGCATTCTCCCTGTGTGCCTATCTGTCTTTTCACATGGTGTTTATTTTATAAAAATACCAGTGATATTGAATTAGAGGCCCACCCTACTCCAGTATAACCTCCTCTTAATTATTTTTATTTTGTTTCTTTAGAAATGGGGTCTCACTCTGTCACCCAGGCTAGAATACAGAGATGTGATCATAGCTCACTGCAGCCTCAAACTCCTAGGCAGAAGCAATCCTCCTCCCTCAGCCTCCCATGTAGCTGGGACTATAGGTGTATGCTACCATGCCCAGCTGCTCTTAGTTACTGGTTTTTTTTCCCCCCCCTAAAATAAATATTTAGAACAATCACCTCTTAATTACATAGTTCAACTTACAGCATGTGTGTTTGAATGGGATCACCAGGGTAAAGTATAAATCAGAGATTCTGAAACTATTTGATCTCAGAACCCATTTACACTAAAAATCATTGAGGACCCCAAATGCCTTTTGTTTATGTAAGTTGTTTATATTGACATTTATCATATTAGATTTAAAACTGAGATAATTTTAAAATTCTCGATTGATTGATTCAATTAAAATAATAATAGTAAACCTTTTCATGTTAAAATAAATAACCTTTTAAATGAAAACTACCTATATTTTCCCAAACAAAAAAAGAATTAGAAAAGAAAAAATTAGTGTCATAAATCTCTTCACAGTCTGACTTAATAAGACAGCTTGATTCTCATACCTACTTTTCTATTCAATCGGATTCAATATCATTCTTCATGTAACTTCTGGAAAACTTCACGATACACTCAGGAAAGAATGAGAAATA